TTATTGATAAAAGTAATCGAGGAAACATGAGAATAAAGCAATCAACCAGTTTACAACATAAAGATAGAAAGTTTTGCATTTTCAATAACATTTATGGAAAAAATAAAATTATAAATGGAAAGGGACTTGTTGAAAACCACTTACAGTTACATTAAAGCAAGAGAAAGACACAAGAGTGACCTGTCTAAGGAAATACAGATGACCAGACACAGAGCTGTTAGCACACAGATGCCTGGTGTCAAATAACAGGCAAAGCCTTGTAATTTTATTTATTTTTTTCACCCAGGGATATGTTTATTGATTTTTAGAGACAGAGGAAAGGAGAAATAGAGCGCAACGTGAAAGAGAAACAAGGATGGGCTGCCTCCTGCACATGCCCCGACCTGCGGTACCCCAACCAATGGAGCCACAGAGCCAGGGCCAAAGACCTGTAATTTTAAACCACTACTTCAGAAAAATTAGAACAAGGACAACATCATCAGCCCTGTTCTGTCATCTGCAGGTTACATATTGGTGCACGGCCTCCCTCTGCCTGTGGGCATTTGGATAGTTGAGCTCCTGCTAGGTGTGCTGAGTATTTAACAACATTAACACAGGAAACTCATGGATCCTAGATAAAAGGAAGGAGGTGGAAGAAGTAGTTTGATGACATAACTTCTCCGATAGGCACCCCCATATTCCAAAATTAATGATCAGACACAAAAATCCTTTGAAATAAAAAATAAATTAAATTTTCATATTGTAGCCAGATTGGGGCAAGAGGCAAATGTTAGGAAGGAGAATAGGAAAGGAAAATGAAGAAGGAAGAAAGGTCAACAATACTGGCCCCAACGTAAGACAGAACAAGGAGTAAAGAAACTAAGAGCATTGGCTCTGGCGTCCTGACTCTCTACCCGTAGTTTTCCCACCTACAAAGGGCACACGATAATAGTCCCGACTTCATGGAGCACGTTTGGAAGGATTATATTCCCTAATAGACAGGAAGTTAGCATGAACTGTAAGCTGTTTTTATTGCCATGTCAGTTTGGGGGATAATGTTCACTCTTTTGATAAAAAAAAAAAAAAAAAAAAAAAGGTTAAAATCAACGCTGTCTCATAACCAGAGTGACAGGAAAGGTGAGGGCCTCAGGAGCACCTGGAACAGACAGGTGCTCTCTCCTGTCTCTCCAGGATACCTCTGCTCAGGGGTCCCCTCTTTCCTCTGACACAGCTTTCTCCATGTGGCGGAAATGGCCAACTTTGTGAATATCCTCAGGGCTGGGCGCTCATGATCCTGGCTCTCTGGTTGGCGGGCATAGAGAGTGTCCTGGGAGTTAGGTCATCTGGCTGGGAAAGGGTCCATTTTGGCCTGAACCAGCCTATCCTGTGCCCTTCCTGATCCTTGTGGCCTGGGAGGTAGGGTGCTATGAGGAGTGGCCAGCCCGTCCTGCCTCTATGGCCAGTGATGGAGAGGTAATATGAGGAGGCCCCTGCAGAAGCTCATGGGCCTGGGGAAAGGAGTTCCCAAAGAAAGGAAGTTTCCATCCCTAACTTCTTTTTGCGATGGGAAGAAGGGAGCATGGAACTGACAGAAGCCAATAGGTAGATGGGATGCAGAAGGGAGGGAGCGGGGAGGGAGAGAGTGAGATTGGACAGATGGGAGCTTTGCTCATTTTGTGAAGGAGCAAATGTTGATGCCTCAAGGAAGGAACGCCCTACACTTTGGCGTGGTAGCTCCCCGTGGAGTCCTGGGAACGTCAGTGCGAAGGGTGGTTTGTCCCCTGTACACAGGGGACAGGTACTGGAACTTGTTCCGTGGACTGCATGCCATTCAGTCCACGGTGTGCTTCCAGCCTCTGGTCTTTGTGATCCACCACAAAGATTTTGGTGCTGTGTTGGGGATATCTGTGTTATGAAGGGCAATTTTTAAAAACGAAGAATCACAGTCATTTCTAACTGCATCTACGTCTGCAAAGGGAAAAATCCCTCTTATGGACGATGTCCATCTCTCTATGCTATATATTTTCCTTTTTGCCATCATTGCTGTTGTTTGATTTTTCCTGAGGAATGTAATGTGCTTCAGACTATATTCTAAATCTCATTTAAAAAGTGTTAAATCAAGAAAGTCTGCCAGCTCCCTCCCTTTGTTTTCTCTCCATGTTGGACTGCTCTGGCAAAGGAGAGTAATATTACCTTACCATGTAAAACATGGCTAATGGCTTTAAAAGAATTCCCCTGCAACTGAATAATGGGCTGCCAAAAATATTCTTGGTGCCAAAGGATCTGGATATGTCTGTTCCATTTATTGTGCGTTTCTCCTTTCATCATGACTAAGTGCTCACAAAAGACATAAAGACTTAACCCTCTAGGGTATGTGCCCTTTGAGGGCAGAAACCATATTTTAATATATTCAGTTTGGCACTTAACATATTGCGATGATTATCAGATTATCAATAGCAAGCATTGATGGATGCCTGTGGTACGTAGGATGCTCAAATTATCAATTAAATTGATTTCTAATGACTAGAATGAAGTTGTTTCATTGTCTGTATTATGCTCGGTTGAGTGGCTTTGATGTTTATTCTAAGGACTTCTGGAAATCTTGCACCAGACACTTATAACTTATTCGGCCTGCATGAATAAGTTTACATTTCTCCGCAATAAGATAGAACCTATTTCTTAATGAAAGCATCATGTTCTAAAAGCCTGAAAGTGAAGAATAGCAAAGTCATTTATTTTTATTTTACTTTGGTAATAAATCTAGTCAGTTCAAAAGAGGTTTTCTTAAAAGTTTTGCTTAAAAATTAATTTAGGAGCATACTGAAGAAGACCTAGGGATATGCAAATGTAGAAAAATTTAAAAGGTGCTTTGTTCCTCACTGAAAGTAAGAAACGTCAAGAAAAGTAGCATCTAAACCCACTCCCTACCTACCCCCACCCCACCTTCTCCTGGAGCCTTCCTACTTGGTCTGTACTCAGAATGTCTGGCTCTCACTTGGCAGGAGACTCAATCTCTCCTGCCTCTTAATTTGGGCCAGGCAGTTGCCAGCTGCCCTGGAATACAATGTGATTTCTGAGTCAGGTATGCATTCTTCGCCAGTCTCTTAATTGCTAGGCTCTTAGTGGACTAGAATAATGATCTTCAAAGAAATCCTGAAATAGAGATTCTTAATTGTTCTGCATGTGACTCACAGGATAGATAACATTCATATGGGGTGCACTCACCTGGGCTCAGAGCCATGAGAAAGTCTTGAGTTGATTAACTAAAATTCCGTATCATTTACTCTTGTTCAGCAAAGTGTATTGGAATTCAGTTAGATAAGAGTGACTTGATCCAAGAAGATAAACCTGCATCTGCTTTAAATGTGTGTGTGTTTGTCTAATTCAGATCTGATATTTAGTCCTTTATTGTTTATGAATAATTATTTAAAATGCTCTATCATAACCAAGGAGTATGGGGAAGCAGCATGTTTGTGCTCTCTTGGGAATGGTTGAGTCCTCAAAAAGGAAATTACTACTGCATAATCTCCCTTCTTTCCAGAAAGTCTGTTTTATGTTTCGGAGACACTGAGTGGCCACCTGATGATAAAGCCTGTGAGGCAGAGTTCTCAAGAAAGACACATGAGCACCATTCTAGTTCATTGTGACTTTAGGAAAAGAAGCAGAGTACCTTTTCAGTTGCCCCTGGAGACCAGTGCTAAATCTACCACTTCCTGTTTGCAGAACTAAGTTGTACAGAAAGGCAGTAATTATCTGCTGTGATTATCAAGCAACTAGTACAAAGCACAACATATAAATTTAGGGATACATGGATATTTACTTGAAATAGTAACTGAAATTAAAATACTTTTGCAACTGATTGGACACCATGAAAATGTAAAACTATGGGTTAAGCATAAATCCTTAATTTTTATATAAAAATATTTTTTATACTCAGTTGTGTTTTGTGGAGTTGGATATACTACTCTTCAAATCATGCCACTTGAAATAGCATTTGTTCATTCAGGATGTTTCTGGTTAAAATATTTAGCTTAAAATATTAAATGTTAATCCTGTGTTTCATTAATGAGATAGAGGCATGGGGTATAATGAGTTGGAAATTCAGAATGTTGTTTGGGGAAGAAAGAGTTTTACTCCATCCTTTCAGGTTCCCTGCTGGTCTAATGAACATAATATAAACTAACAGGAGAAAAAACAATTCAATTTAATAAATATGGGCATTCCAAAGATATGAGGCTCCCAGATAGGCAATTGGTATAGGCCTGAGAGTTCACAGGGTGGGAAAGCCATTCATGGGGAGCAGGGAAAAGAAAATGGCAGAGAAATCTTTCGATGTAAAAAGAAGTTCTCTTTGGTCTAGCTCTTTTTCTGGTAGGCACCTGTATCTAAACTATTAAACTATTTTTGGCAGTGAAGGGGAAGGAAAAAAGAAAAACTTCCTATATCCTCCATTTCTTACAAATAATTAGCCTAAAATGATCTTCATGAAAAAGAGACACATTTTGGGGTGGCAAATTTTGCTTCCCTACAGTGTCCTCTAGCTTTCAATATGCTACACGAAAGTAAAAGTTGAATTTTAGAGAGTACAGGTTACAATAAACTGTTTAATTATTTTTAACAGGAGAGTTTTGCTCATATTATTCTGAACCAAACACAGATATTTAGCGAATGAGTTAGTGGGTACTGCCTTACCACAGGTAAGTGAGGTACAGATTTGTCCCATTAACTCCAGAGGTAGAATGCTCTCTAAAAAGCCATTTGGAGACTGGGAGAAAGCAGTGCTGCATCCCAGGGGAAACAAAGTCTCCATTGAAATTTAAAACAAATTTCAAATTTTAAAACAAATGCCTAGCAGAGTGTGAAACACACACACACACACACACACACACACACACACACACACATACACAAAAGAAAAAACCAAAACCAAAAACAAACAAACAAAAAAAAACCTAAACAAATAAGACAAAGCTATCAGAATACTTGATGTGCACTAATTATGTTCCTTTCTTCTCTTGCAGGCTCAACGTGGGAAAAGACATTTCGGCAGATTGGCTTTGAAAGGTAAGCAACATTTAGCCTGTCTCCACTTTTAGCATACTAATGTTCTATTTTACTCCAAGTACTTTATGGATTATAAATCAGTGGTATTGCTACCACTACTTCAGTAAGTGAATGAGTTTGTGCCATTGAGTAAGTCATCATTTTGCTCCTTGAGACTTGGTTTCTTTATAAAGTAGAGCTTTGCATTATAAAATCCTTGCTTGAATACAGAGTGAACTTGAAGATTAAATGGAGCAACTTTTTGGAAAACACTTCTTAAACTGCAAAACATTATAAAAGGTAAGTTGTACAGTTAGACAATTAGGAATTTGAGTCTACTTTCTTATAGCATTTTCACCTCAACTATTAGTTCTATAGTTTCCGTGCAGAGAAATTTATATTTATATTGATGCCTTTCCAATTATGAAAATGATTAGATATTAGCTCTAAGTGAAAGGCTGAGATCACATCACTCCTAAGCATTTCTCTTGTCAGTGGAAATTGAGCTGATTGCAAAGAAAGAATTCCAAACACTCACACATGGAGATTGTGGTGTGGTGGCCTGGTTTATTTCTGATGTAATATCAAAAGAGTCTTCTTCCTGGCTGCCTAAGGTCCCATGGCTGTCTGTGCTGCCATGGAAAAAGGACAACCGTGTCTTCAACAAGGCCAAGGCCAGTGCCCACAGTTTCTGCCTCATAGTCCTTCAGAGCCTGCACAAGAGCTGCATGGTCGGTCAGTGCTCCTGGGCCAGAGAGCATGCGGTCCAAAGGCTGAGAGTGCAGATCACTGAGCGAGGGAGAATAAACTTCTTTGTTCACTTGGAATTATGTACTCTCAGGCTTGGGAGGAACCAGAAGCTTTTTCAAATTAACCAATCAGCTTCCCAAACTGTGTGTGTTGGGGGGAGGAAGAGGAAGCTTAATATTGCTCAGATCCTTATTTCTCCCCTGCCTATTTTCAATGACTAAGATTTTTACACCAAACCATGCTGAATTCTTGAATATAGGTCTCTTCTGTTTTGTGTTGTTTCATTGTTTCTATTCCTATATCTCTGAGGACAGTCCCAAATCTCAAATTTTATTGGCTGTTCTCATATTATGAATATTTTAAATAAATCCAGACAGTATAAATTCCATATTATAGTGCCTCCCTAAAATTTGTATGTTTCCAAATAGAAGTACAAATAAAACTATTATTAAGGAATCTATTAAGTGATATGCTTTGTTTTTAAACTGTCATCTCAGTTTGGTGATCATCATGATTTTTAGATATCATGCTACAGTGTCATCCTGTGACTTTCCATGTTGCCCTATGTTTTCTCATTTAAGGGCAGAGAGAATTCTCTGCATTGCATCAACTCTCTTAAAATACAGAGCAGATATTGATCTGTGGGGTTATGGTGCAATTATTGTTGCAGAGACTGTATTAAGCAGTGCTGTCAAATGTGGCTCTGCTGTTTTTCTTCTCAAGTTTAACCTCTTCTTTGCCTTAAAGGGAATTTCAATTATATCTTAAATGAAGCTCTCTGGTTCTTCAGAGCAGTTGTAAGGGATATTGATCCTTTCATTGCTATGTCCTTTGAAGTTTGCTAGCAGATTATTTTAAAGTGGCCACATCTAAAGGATGCAGTGACTGAGTCAGCTAAAGCTTCACCACTTTCTGCAAGGATGGAAAGCAAAGATGTCCTCTGTTGTACATGTTGTCACTGAAAGGAAGACCAAGGGATCTGCCCCCCTCCCCGCTTCTTGCAGTAATGCTTGCCATGAGCTGGTGTTAAGCCATTCACTTTCTGGAAACTTAGTGAGCATTGCTCCAGAATAAATACACAGTGTCACAATTTATGTGGCTGAATTCATGACAGTAGGTTATGTTCACCTTGAAAAAAAAATCATCCTAGTCCCCAGTGGGGTATATCGGGAATTTACAGAGGAAGGATATAAATTCCTATATCTTTGTTGTTGCCACTTCTAACATCCCCACCCACTCCTGATGCTCCAATATTGATATCTACACACACACACACACACACACACACACACACCAAAAAAAAAAGACTCAGTTGTATTGTGTTATTTTATTTTTATTGTAAAATATGTGCCTAACATATTTTTATTTCAATTAGAAAGCTTCACTTTCTGTGCAGATTTTCCAAGCTTACAAGTATAAATATTTCCAAATCATATTCATTAATTGTGGTTAAGACAATGCAGGTGGGCATTGCTTTGTAAATTCATCAGCGCCCAGTATGTTCTGAACAAGTGTGTCTGCTTGGGAATGGCCCAATCTCCAGTGTGTGTGTGTGTGTGTGTGTGTGTGTGTGTGTGTGTGTGTGTGTGTGTGTGTGTGTCTGTGTGTTTTGTGTGTGTGTGTGTGTGTGTGTGTGTGTGTTTTCTCACTCGTGTGAAATCTGATGAGGAGACTGGACAACTCTGCAGAGCAGCCTCTACCTGGTGTGTCACCGTTTGGCTTCAGTCTGTCACACTTCTCTCTCAACATGAGGTTTCTGAGTTTGCCTGAGGAGGGGAGGAGAGGTGGGAGAATTACACCCTGATGCTTGTTTCTACCTTGCAGTGGCAGCTCACTGTTCCTGGCCCATAGCAAGTCACCTTGCCAATTTGCAGGGAGGGAGAGGTGTCACTCTGCCATGCATGCAGGAAGGGGCAAGAAGTAGAAGATCAGGAAGCTGTAGTAGTATCTATCACATAAGCTTTGAGGAAGGCCTGCACGTGGTTTTCTCTTACCTAAGCTGCACTTTGCATTTAAGACAAACTGTGTCAGCAAGTACATAGATAGCTTATGCATAGTTGCCTGCCACCAGAAATACAGGTTTCTGCTTTCTGGGAAATCTTATTGCTGCCTACTTAAAAATAACCATCTTCTACTGATCTTTCATCCATTTGTAGTTAAAAAGCAATGAAGTTATTCCTAATGAATCTATATAAGCAGCACAGTACCTCAGATCATATCACTGTTAAGAATATTGTATCTGATTCTATTTGATACTCTACTTGGATTGTGGAATGAAATATTTTGCCTCTTTGAAGAATATGTTAAAAATATAAATCACCCTGAAAACAGCCTGCTCTGGGGAAACACAAATACTCCTAGGACCCCCCTCTCCTGTCCCCAGCCCCCTTGTGTAGACATAATTCAGAAGCTGTGGCCTTGTCTTTAGGGGGTGGAGAAGCTTTCCACAGCCTATCTCTTGTTGGGCTTCTCTCCCTGCCTCTATATTGTGGGGAGCTGCCCCCCACACCCCATGCTTCAAGCTTTAGATATAATTGCCTTTGTGGAAACCTTCAGGTTGACTTATGTCTAGGATCCCACCTCTTCTTGTCATATTTTTCCTCCCACATTTTTCTGTTCCGGTACTGGATATATGGTATTGAAACTTTCCTGCTGTGTATCTATTCCTTTGGGGCTGTGTTGATCCCCTGGTGCCCTGTCACTGCCTGGCATGTGCTAGCTAATCAAACGTTTGGTGGGTGCTTGATTGAGTCCTTGATGGGACGTGTATGCAAATATGGTTGGAGCGTGCATGTGAAAGAGTGGGCCGCTGAGGAAGGCAAGAGCCCAGGGACCACCATCTTTTCATCATCACGTTGCAGGCGCTGGTAGGAGGATGGGCCGTTGTAGCTAGAGCTGGCTCATCCCTGACAGTGTAGGGAGGAAGACACGGCTCTACTGTATGTCAGTGTGAACAATTGTTTAATTTAATAACCTTCATATCAACCATAGAGTCTTCCTGAATCTCTCTTCTCAAACTACGGAGTCTAATGTTTCGAGTTTGACACCAGCTGCTCTCTATGACAGGATTCCTGTGGGATCAAGAACCTGATGAGGAGTTCTAGACCAGAATCAAACCTGAGACCCTTTGGCCCACAGGCTGACGCTCTATCCACTCAGCAAAACTGGCTAGGGCCATAATCTTGAATGTACTTGCTAGCATCTTATAGAATGGGGCAACAGTAGATGTGCAGTTGTGAGTACACAAAACACAGAGTTTAGTCTTGTATTATTATTTATTAATGATTGTATTCTTTTCCATGTGAACAATTGTAAACCTACTTTTGCCCCACCCTGTATGTTGGACCAATGCTTCTGAGGGCAGGGTATATGTCTTACCAACTTTTGACCTCTAGTGTCAGCCCAGGGATTGGCAAATTATAGGTATTAAATAAATGTTTGATAAATAAATGGCATTTTAAGTAAATATTGCTGTGTCATTTCTCTGTTGGCCCAGCCCCTACTTTCATCGAATATGCTTTTTGATTTTGGATAAATTTTAGTTTCTATTGGCCTTTTCACTTGGAGGATGAATAGATTCCTTGGGAAATTTAAGGCCAATTATTAAATTGTATATCCTCCAGCTTTATGTATAATTCACAAGCTGTGTAATTGAAATGCAGGCTGTCTTTTTAGGTAATGTTACATAAAGTGTAGAGAAATAATGAAAAAGCTAGACTCCAATATTGCTTTCATGATATACTTTCCTGTATGAAATCTTAGTCTGATAAATAAGATGGTTAATAAAAATCAATCACGATAGAAATGAAGATATTAATTTCTATAGTTACTGATTTGTTTTTCTGAAGTTTTTAAGTTAAGGTTATGAGTCTGTAGCATAAAAAGGATAATTTGAATATATATTCATTTGGATCAAGACAAGTATTTTTTTATATTGCCTCTCTGAGAAGTATACAGAAAGGAAAAAATAAAACATTACCACAATCTCACCATTACTATAACCTTGTGGTTTATGAAGTTAAATAAAGGAAATCTTAGTTGGGATTTAGTCATGTGTTGTCAGACCTGTAGCTTATACGTCTACTGTATTTTTGCATGTGGAGGTGCACAGTGCAGGTTTTTCATTTAATGATTTCCCCAGTTGTTGTGTTGGCTTCCTGAAAGCCAAGCTTCTAAATGCTTTAATTCTTTCAGGCTGCATATGAATATTCCTGGAAATGTTAGCAAACTACTTTGAAATTATGATATAACATTTTTTTGTCACAGTCATT